CGGTAAGTAAATACAACCAGCAACGCGTGGCTTGGGCACAATTTTTAATTGGAACGAAAGAAATTCCTGAGGAAAAATGAATGTTTTTTGCATGTATTAATTGTAGTTAATGTATTTTGTTGATAAGGTAATTTTTTAACTCGTTAATTTCAAACTAAACTTTAATTGGTTAATAACGAAAATAAAATACAAAATTACATGAACATATAATTATAACAAATATTCTAGTTTTACTATGGGTTGTACACCGTTTGCAAATGAAGAATATACAGCAAATCCACGATTCTCGCTATTCTTACAGTTCTCACTATTCCTACGATTCACAAAAATTCAATGATCTAGTTTATATTCCGGTTGTACAGTATATACACAACGATAGCATTTTATTTGAATCTGAAAAATTGAAATTTAATAGTTTTTGTAATTTTGAGAAATTTGAATTAAAAATTAACACAAATTTAACATTTAAATTTCCAATGACTACATATTTTGTATACGTATATAAGTTCGTTGTTCGAAACTGTCAAAACACGATCAATGAACTTATGTCTTATAACATTGACAGTTTTATAAATGAACCTATTTATATTCATAAGCTGTACAACAATTAAAATAATTTTAGTTCATAAATTTGATACCAATTATAACAAAAAATATTATTTTACATAAATGACTCCCGGGGAGTAAATAAATGACTCCCTCTAAAATAAAATAAATAGAACAACTCTATGGTAAATTTTTCAAGGAAATAATTTTATACCTCGCAAATTCTAAAAACGAAATAATAGTTTTTTCTATATTAAAATAGATTACTCCCGGGGAGTAAATAAATGACTCCCGGGGAGTAAATAGATTACTCCCGGGGAGTAAATAGATTACTCCAGGGGAGATTAGTTTTACTCCCGGGGAGTAAATAAATTACTCCCGGGGAGTAAATAGATTACTCCCGGGGAGTAAATAAAGTACTCCAGGGGAGATTAGTTTTACTCCCGGGGAGTAAATAAATTACTAAATACTAAATCTAAAAATTGTTCAGGGATTTAGTGTTTAATTGGCTTCTCAATGCCACTTAAATTACAATCAGTGCTCCATTAAATTGCTGGAAATCATAAGGGTTGGAAATGATATAAGGGCAAATAAAAGGAATGGATACAGCTCAATGAGTTTTTATCAAAAATCGTTCAAAAATGGTATTAATGGCAGGCATTATAATTCATACATCTTTCACCGTTGAATGTTTTTAGCACTAATGAATCAATAGTTTTTAGAATGGAAAATATTCAATATTCGACAGACGCACAATATACTAAAAATGCATTCAACGGCGTCAATCAGGCTATTGGTGGAAACATTCGCAGGAAAATAATTTTGGTGCCGTACTACAATGTGGCGAACGCTTCAATGATAGAACAATGAAACTGTTATTTCAACCATTCATAAGAGAACACTTGAAAGGTCAAAAGTAACATGTATTTTAAGTTTTATACTTTTATATTTTGTATAACTTGTTCATTTCTTGCCCAATTTTTCTACTCATTTTTTTCAATGTTGATTATTGAACACAATACTTTATTGTATTCATTTGTGAGATAGTTTGTTTTAAATCGAATCTCTTCAAAATTTTGTTTTTCATTTTTAACCAAATGGCTTCGCGATTAGAAAAAAAAATAAAAAAAATTAGATACAATATAAACTATGAATTAGATTCACTTTTACGCATTTTTCAACTGCCACACGAAAAATTTCAAGGTACAAACAACAGACTTGAATTCAAGACCAAAATACAAACTTACTTATACTTCTAGATTGAATAATGCAAGAAACGACAATCAGACTGTATGTAATTTGTTGTCTTTCAACAGAATCGATTTTATCGTTTTAAGCTGAGCCGAATCTCAATTGTAAATACATTCTTTAAACATTTAGAAGAGAAAAGTGTTCAGAAACCGTCAATCAGACACATATGTGAAGACGCCGAAGAAAATAGTTATGTGCATGTTGAAGAGCATAAATTCTCCGTTTTTGGTGTTATTGTTTAGTATGTTGTGTTTTAGTTATTGGCGGATGCAAAACAATGACAAATACCCGGAATACGAATTATTTTCAAAGGGTAAATGTAACTTTAAATGAATGTCGTACACGGTGTTTGATCTGATTGGTTTGCAACGAAGAAAAAAAATGTAAATTGAAAATAATTTCAATGCATATTTCGTTTAAAGAAATAAAATTGATTTTGGTCGACGAAGAGCAAGAGCGATGGTTAAATGACGATTCATTATAACAAAAATGGGTTTTGATTGAATAGAATAGAAGCTGTTGAAGTGACTGTTGACTGATACGAATGCATTATGGATATTGGCTCCATTGGCCCGATGGGTGTGCGTGTGCAAGAGAAAAAGCGTTGAATAAGTACACGAGAATCGCATAATGATCACATTTTTTATTTGATGTTGAAGTTTTTATTTGATTTTCATTTCCTACGATTGCATATATGCAGCGACAATTTTATATTTCGTTTTTATCGTTATGGATTTTCTAGTTTTCTTCTTCATCGCTTTTTTTTGTAATTTCTCAGCTTGAATTTTATATTGCTATCGTCTGAATGAAGTGGAAATAATAACATCAATATTCAGAGGCATTTGTCGTGGTATGAGTCATCTAATAATAATCATAGTCAACCCGTTACAATGGCCATTATAACAATAGCAACAACAGAAACAATGTGTGAATGCGCAGAGATGAATAAATAGAGAAAGAGGTAGAGAGAGAGAGAGAGAGAGAGAGAAAGAAACACAAAGAACCGAATGAAATTAAAAATGAAATTCTATACGCGCTATATATGTTTGACAACAAAAGCGCACGAGAGGTTATGCATCCGATGAGAATGTAAACAAATGAATGCATTTTATTCGAATTGTGAATTCGTGTGGTGAGTGCGTTTTAATCGCCATGTATATACTTCATCCGAATGAGAGGAAAAGAGAACGAGTGAAAAATAGACGGAAATTTGAAAATGAATTGCCGAAATATTTGAGCTGAGCAAATGTGTTTGTGCACGATCTCACCGTATATACATGAGAATGGGCGCATAAATATTAAAAGATCAGATGCTGGATGTAAATTAATTAACTCGAAATAGATCTAATATTGAAGCGCCTCTCAAAAGTGCATGACCCGCATCATGATATATATTTTACCGGAGCACAAATGTCCGCTTAAACAAAACGAAATGAAAAAAAAATCCACTCACTTTAATGGCTCTAGTTATTTGTCGATCACTTTGTATAATTCATTTTTCTCTCGTTTCAGTGCGCAGCCAACGAATTAGTAAGTGTAAATGGTTCGATAAATTGCCTGTATGAGTTGTTCCATCATCGCATCACATTACATTTATCGAAACGAAATATGCCGTTGTTTATGACTAAAAGCCTGCATGCCTGTTTGCATTAAACTCACCATATCATCGATTGATGGAGATCCGCGAGCGTCGATCGAAAACATAAATTGAACATGTTTATGTTCTATTTGTTTATTTTATTTTGCCTGTTTTTTGCGTATTGCAGTCGCTCTATCTCTTTCATTCGTTCGTGCTCCATCCAGAGAAAAAATGTTATTGTTTAGCGAGAAAAAAAAAGTTTATTTTGGAGCCGCCACAACGATGTAAGAATAAGCAAGAATGTGAAATAAGTGCTTGCTATGCACCGACGAAATTTATGGCCAAGTGCTGAAAATGAATTGCAATAATGATCGCGCTGGTGTAATAGTCAAGGGGGCCCGTGTCAAACATTATCAGGGTGTGTCAATATTATATGTATATAAATACGTTTATAATATGGTTTTTATTTTGCGCGCACACATAATACCATCTTTCTTTTCTCTATCTCTTTCCCCGCGTCTTTCTTATTTAATCGGCTACACATTTATGTGTATGTGTGTGAGAGAGAGAGAGAGAGAGAGAGAGAGAGAGAGAGATTATGTGCCTGTGCATGAACATTTTTGTGTGTCTAGCACACGAAACAATTTATCTCTTGCATTTACGTGGTTGCTTTTCATTTAATTTTTCATATTCAATTTTATAGTTGTGCGCGCCCATCGTTGTCGCTGCTGTGCGTACTTTGGTGCGCGCAAGTGAAAAGAAGTTTGCTATAGACAATGGCTTATAAGTGTGTTTGGTGCATGTGTGTGTGTGTGTGCATGTGAGGGAGAGAGAGCGAGATAAATAGAAGAGGAAAAAAGGGAAGAGCACATTCATTAAATGCCGTATGCATATAAAAATATTTTGTAATATTATTATTGCCAGTTTATGTGTGAGCAAAAAAAAAATGGAATGAGGCGGTGGTGGCAACGGCGACGGCAGTGGCAATGACAGCGACCAAGTCAGCCAGCTAGAGCTCACAGAATGCCAAATAGCAAGAATGAGTGAAATGAGCAGCGCGCAAACCTTTACACACAATGCACATATTAAACTCCGGCAAATGCGGCATCAATATTGACGACACAACAGAAGAAAAAAAAAAACATATGTTCATGAAAAGCAGCAATAAAACATAATAAACAGTAGAACGAGGAACGAAACGAATGTGGACTGGAAGGGAAAAAAGGAAGAAAAAAAAGAGAATATAAAAGAAACACAACAAACAACCAAATTGTGTGTGAGTGTATTTTTCATTTTTGATACTTCTACTTTTGCTGGCTCTTTTCAGCAACACAGTACACACATATTATTTCTTCTTCTTTTTTTTTTGTTGATTCTCTAGCGTGTGCATAACATATAATACAATTTTTTTTCGGTTTGTGTGTTTTTTTTTTTCACTCTTCGTTCAAAAATGTGCTCGGCGCACAGTTAGTTGAACGACGAACGTTCAACACTGAACACATACATACCACATTGAAATAGTGCATCAGCAACAACAACAACAGAACTAAAACCCTAGAACTGTTGTGCATTGTGTGTGATAGTAATCATAACAGGCCCGATTCCACCAGTATTATTATTATTATTATTCATTACATATTCGATGAGAGAGCGATCGTGCAATTGTTGCCTTACATCGATCAAAAGACAAACTGACCAGTGTGCATTGTATTGTTGCTCTATCTTGGATGTCATTCAGTTTTAACGCACAATTTTTACTCGCGAACTCTGAATATATCATCTTTTTTTTTTGTTTCATTTGTTTATCTGTAACATTCAACGGCAACGGCTAGTAATACGATACATCTGGATTGTGAGGGAGACTCAGAGAAAGAGTCAACAAAACGAAACAGACGAAGAAGTATCAGTTTCAAGGCAACATATCGGACCCACACACAAATAAACCAAATAAAAAAAAAACGAAAAATTAACGACGAAAAAATGTCAATTTATTGAAAGAGTTGATTCAACAAAGATCAACGGTTTTGCGATATGAGTGTATGTGTAGTGCATATGTTTGAAACGGTCAATTGAATTTTTATGATATTTATCGGACAAAGTCGTCGATTCGAAACCGAAAACGAAAACAAAAAAAAAAATAATTTAAAAATAAACGAGGAGAATAAAAACAGTTTGATTTTGCCGATACGTTTGCAATAAACATTGAAAATCTAGTTCGAAGTAGCCGAAGATCGCTGTGGTTAGCAGTAAATTTGTATATTCGTTTAATTTGTTTGTGCCGAATTTTATCATATCGAATTTGGTTTTACGTGCTTACTTAATTTTTGTTTTCTCGTTGCATTCGTGACAGTTGATATGTGTGAATGAATTTTGAAGAGTCGAGCGAAAAAAAGGAGCAAAACATATAAATACCAAAAAGCAACGAATTCAATGTGAACATCATATACATGCACATCAAAGAGCGATGACGAGCAGCCGGTGTGCAAATGCCAATTTAATGAGCGAACGTCGGCATATATACGTATCTGTTTCTAAGTGTAAAAATACTTTGTGCCGTATTTTCACTTTCGGATTTTGATGATTACATTTTTTGTGCGCCCGCAACTGGATAACTATTTCGAATGACAATTTTGTTTTTTAACTTTGCTTTGCTTTGTTTGTTCGTTGTTTATTCACACGCAATACGAGGGTATGTCAAGAAGAAATCTGAACACGGCGTCTTAACACTCGTTCTTTTTATTATTATTACGAATTTTTTTTTTTCATACATATTTTGATTGGTGTTTATGCTATGTTACGGCTTAAAATATATGTACGTTTTCAACTGACCTTCAATGTTCTACCGTTCCGCGCCCACATTCGTACTTGAAATCCACTCATTCATAGTGTCATTTTGTTAATTTGTGCTAATGTTGTTGCTGTGATTTCTCTCTCTCTCTCTCTCTCTCTCTCTCTCTATCTCTCTCTCTCTCTTTCTTAATAATCTTGTATATTATTTTTACATCGAACAGATTCACTTGCGCGCAACACTCAATATAGAAGCTGCTGTGCATCAATTTGCTGATTTCATTCGGCGTACTGATTTAGAAGAAACGACGAGACTCATTCATTATTATATTTTTCTGCGAAATTGTTCAGTTAAGAATAGTGCCAGACAGACAAAATAAGTGAAAAACAAAAGAAAAAGAAAAACACCAACCAGTGCGTCTTAAAAAAGAACACGAAAACAAGGGAAATCGTTTAGATATTGTGTAGCTCAGTTTGTTCACAGTGATTTTTTTTTCGCATCTCATATTCAAAATGTGCTATTATGCGGTGATAACATGTCGCAGTTTGGCATGGTTTTTATTAACCATTGTTGCCGATCTATTTATTTTAACGGCAATGGAGAGTCCAAAATGGCTTGTGGGTCCTCAATCATACATCATAGACGATTCAATGGCCGAGAATACAACCATACAACGATATCCATCGGTTGGAATTAATACTCGGTGAGATACATTATGTCACACACCATTTCATCTTGAGAATAAAAACAAATATTACGAAATACGTGATATATGTATAATGTAAACATTACTCATGTTCATGTCGGTTGAAGTTAATAAAGATTTATTTCGAATTTGCTCCCCATTCTAGATGCATTCTAATGAAGAATGTAAATGCAGTTAATTTCAACTGTGGTCCATTTGATTTAGATGGATTTGCGACTGAAAATAATGTCTATCCACTGCCATGGAAATTTGCCAGGTTTTTCATCGTTTTGGGTTTTATTATAATGACATTGACCTTAATTTTAACATTGGCCACATTTTGCCGTCAATCGATATTTGGAAAGAGCATTCACACTATCACCGGATCTGCTCAAGCATTTGCAGGTATTTATGACTGAATAATCATATGAATTATTAAAAAGTCAATATAAATTAGCGACAAATGACGTGACACTTTTTTATTTGGAATTTTATAGCGATTTGTGTGCTGATTGCATTATTTTTGCATCCGTTTGCATGGGGTCATGATCGTGTAAAACGCTTATGTGGATCAGAATCTTCAGCCTATTGGCCATCCGATTGTAGTTTGGGTATGTTTTTTTAGCTTGATATTTGAAAATATTTTTTTTTTGAAACATAAAAGTAAAATCAGAGATCAAATTAAAATAAAGTGAAAATAGAAAAAGTATTTAATCGGAGAAAATTTATTTCGCTCAATAATGTGTTGTTTTTTTTTTTTGTTCATATTGAATAGGATGGTCATTGTATTGTGCCATAATAAGTGTGATTTTTGGTTTTGTTTGTGCATCGATGAGCATAAAAGCTGAATCGGCAAATATGAATATAAATGTGAAGAGACGTATCGAGGCTGGAGAAAGATTACTATGTGTCATGTGAATACTACTACTCTATATAGTATATGTGCTTTATTACAATCATTTGTAGAGAAGTTTTTGGTCTTCGTAAAAAACAAAAGGAAAAACAATGTCTCAGGAATTCACTTTGAAATTACAAATTTTACACTAATCAATTCTAACATTCAAATACGCTCACGCACACACGCACACATATAATTGTAATGCATGAATATTCTCGCACGAGAAACGAAAAACAGATTATGATGATGTGCCGAGTTTCAAACAGTTGATGTCGAACTGAGGAAGGAACAAATTTAAAAAATAATAATGTATTATTGAACGTGCACCTTTTTTGATACATTTCAAAAGATTTTTTCACAAAAATATATTTTATAAACGAAAATATAATATTCCAAAATCATATATGCATATGATACATTTGTCATTTTGTTGATTTTTTTTTTATATTAATGAAGAAAAGAAGAGCTAAAATTTATTAAACCCACATAATCCAAAGATGTTAGAAACACATTTGCGAAAGCAATTAAAATACTTATTATGATATCATCCCGTTCAATTGGAGCATCACTAACAAAAAATGACGGACCACATGAATTGCCGCACATTCTCAGATTCCGAAACGTGGTTTAATCATTTTTTTTTTGCTCGTAAAAAACACTTCTTTGTGTAGTCAATGTTCTTTGTGTTATTATTATTCATTTTTTTTTTAAATTAAAACTAACATAATGTACGGAACAAAAAGCATTTTTCTTTCTTAAATTTTCAGCAATCAACACTCCATTATAATCAATTATTCGTTTTGTTTTCTTGAAACTTTCGAGTGGGTAGATCGGGATTATCAGCTGTAAGTATATAAAATGCCAGTCATAAGATATTATCGATAAATGGTTGTTGGTGCATTTGTTTGTCACTATCATTCGGACAAAATTCGATGTGCATTAATCTCGTCGATGGTGCAACATGAACAAACATTTTGTCACTTATCTCATTTTGTTTTTATTGCTGCCTTCTTTTTATTGTGGACATGTGGTGTTTCTGAAAATTGAATGCTGTTTATATTACATTATGCTGATCACATCGCGAAAATAAAAAGTAAATTCAAATCAAAATTTTTAAATGCATAACCATTCTCTCTTTATTAAATATTTCTTCATTTTTTTCTCTCTTGCAATTAACAATGTTCAGAGTTTATCATAATTTGTATTTATGTATGTGTGTGTGTGTGTTTTTTTTTATTTAAATAAAATGTTCTGAAAGCAGTCATTTATAATTTACAAATAGAAAATGGGAAATAGATTTGTCATTATCATTTATCCATTTTGTTTTCTAAATCAATTGATTTTGCGCGACATGGCTTTTTCAATTTGCTTAAGACCTGAATATGCATTTTGTGGTATTGAAACAAAAAAAAAAACGATAAAAAATAATGGAACTTGAACCATTGTTTAAAAAATTCATTTGTATGTAGTAATAGTTTCAATTCCATAACACATAAAATTAATTAGAGAATATTTCGGGAAACATTTTCTCATATTTTGAAACAGATACAATCGGTACTGTTTTTCATGATGAATCATTTTTTGTGTGTGTGTGTGTGTTTTTTTTTGACAATTTAAACCAATGATTTTTTTTCTACATTGATTAACATTTCAAGATGCTTTTTTAATATTACAATGGAAACAAATTCGTAGTACAATGAAATATACATACTAAAAAAAAACAAAACAAAATTTAAAAAAATCTTCAAATATTTTAAGAAAATGGTCATTATTATTTTGTTCATTTCATTGCTTTGATTTCCTTTTTTTCTTTTAAATTTTCAATTTTTCTTGCATATATATTTCATTTTAATGGATTTCTTTTTAGCATTTCTTGTATTCATTTCTATTCGTTTGTATTGTATTTTCATTAAGATTTGTTGTTTTTTTTTTGTTTTCTTCTCTTCGTTCTTTTTAAATATATGAATTTATCATAATTTTTGCTATTTAATTAATTGTTTCCATTTATTTTTCTCTTTTTTTTTTGTTATCTCTTTTTCCTTTTCAAAGCTGTTATAAAACGAAAAAAAAAACTGATTTGAAATTATATATTTCTAGCTATCGGCTAATGAATTATAACGATTTCCTATAGAGACTGGTGCGTTTGTTGGAAGGTCAGATGATCGTTGGATACGTGCACCTTGTTTAACTTCTTCGAATGCCGGTTCGTTTTTCTTTTTTCGTAGTTCTTCTTTTTTGGCATCGCCCAGCGTTGGGAAGTATTCTTCGTTGTTAATGTCTGGCAAAGCATCTTTCTTCAGACGCATCGACATAAGCGGTTGTTGTTGTCTAAGTGCCGGACTGACATACACACCCGTTGATGTTGCCGATAAAGCCGGCTTCTTTTTCGAGCTATCGCTTTCAGCTTGACTATTTACTTTGGCCTCGGTCGCACTACTTGCACCGCCACCGGCCATTTTTTTCCATGCACCCTTTTCACCGTCACCATCTTCACCATCACCATCACCACCATCGGCATCCGAACCCGAATAAAATTCATCGTCGTTCAATTGTACGTTCTGGATTTTAAGGCCCGTAAAATCTACGTTACGTTCTTCTTCTTGAAATTCTCGCCATTCGTCTTCCTAAATTCGACATAAAATAAACAATCGTAAAGCATTAGAAATGCTTATATTTTTTCTCGTTGGCAATTTATGAATTTAATTTTAAAAATCCAAAAGATTTTCATTTTTTCAAGCAAATTAACAAATGGTAATCCCTTTGTTTCTCGTTCAAACATTCAAAATGAAAATCAATTGGCGACAAAACTATCACTTTCACTGGTAACGTGTTTAAGTATAAAACAATAGACGCACATGTATGAACACGCAAGCACATACACACACTCATGCACGCATACAAGGATATTAAGTACATATATATTTGCATATGCGTGCAGTCGCATACATGTCGACACCGAATATCCATTTCATTCGTATCATCATCATAAAAATTATATTTTTATGCATTATTATTTATTTAGTTTGAAATTTGTTTAGAACTACATACTTCGGCTGCATTCAATTGTGGTTCGCCGCTCTCATTCTCCACACCATCTGACTGCTGTGTTGACTGTTGTTCTTTGCGTGGCGGTTTCACTTCGTTTCGCTTTGTGGTGTCTTCCAATTTTTTCACAAATTCATCTGGTGTTGCAAATTTCTTGGTTTTTGTCTTTTTGCGATCTTTTTTCGCAAAAAAATCATCCAAATCCGCCATTATTAGTGCTTCTCTTTCTCTGTGTCTCTTACACTCTGTAACTTGTCCTTAATTAGTTGACGTTTTCTTTTCACTTCCACTTACTTCACTCTCTTACTTCACCTATTCTCTCACTCTCTCCGCTGTGTCTTTCTTCTTCTTTTTTTTTCTGTACTGCCGCCACTGCTGCTGCTGTGTAGCTCCAACGATTTAATCAGAATATTCAACCTGAAATTAATCGAAAAAATGTAAATTATCGACTGCACACACAATAACAAACAGGATATCAACTAATTCACAATAATTGTTTGACCAACTATCGCAATAACTAGTGTGAAATGTACTTCTTTTTATTGAACGATTAAGCTATATATTAGATTGCACGTACTTTCTTCACACTTGCGTTTCACTGATTATCAATGTGGACTTGGATGACGTTCGTCAGCATGAAAATGACATTTAGCGCGAAGCCGACAACGACACCTTGTGCCAAAATAATAATCACACATTTCAATTCGCCGCGAATCGATTTTTTGCCACTCGAACATACTTTGTTCTCAGTTTAAGTATGCCAATTGAATAAATTCATTTTTAGTCATAAGCTTCCGATATTCTTATAATTTTGAAATCGATGAAATGTCATTGTTTTGGTAATTCTATGAAAATCCGAATAATTTTCATCTATCATTTTCTATGATGCATTTTATCATCTTCTTCATATTGGTTTGACGAAGAAGAGAAAATATTGGGTTGGTTGAAAGTATTTGACATTTATCTCAATAGATGTCATTGAAGTCATTTTGTTCATATTAATTAAAATCATACGAATGGTGACATTTCTGGCCACATTTGAAAACAAATAAACAAAATAGTTGGAATTGGTGAATTCTTTCAAAGTTCACAACGTTATCGAAAAATAATGAATGAAACTTACGAAAAATTCCGATACACTTTGCAATATTATTTCGACAAAGGCAAGAAGGTGGCAGAAGCTCGACGACAAGAACATGGTAACATCGTTTTAAAGATGGAAATTTTGATGTAAAAGGTCTGGCCGACCGCTGATTGAAAAAGCTGACGACAATTCTCGATAAAATCAAAGAAGAAGAATTCAAACATCGTCCTCACAAAAGGTCACGCTATGCATTTCCACCAAATGGGTGGAATTGGAACGGAATTGTCTACTGTATATGAAATATTACCACCTGGATTTCCGCTCAGTATCGAATTCCGTTGTCAACCGCTGACAACAGTAGACCCCATATAAATATGATGACACAACAAAAACTAAGAGAGTTTGGTTGAGAAGTTTTGATGCATACGTCACATAGTCCACACATAATACCCTCCGATTATCGTTTGTTTTGATATCTAAAAAAATCACTTTATGGATTTTAATTATCTGAAATAATGGGGCTGCCGGGAAGATGGCCAAAAATCATCGATCAAAATGGAAAATATTAGGAGAAAATGCTGGAAGTACTAAAATGATATTTTTGAAAATAAATAATAAATACACCGGTTAAGTTTTTTGTTTAGCTGTTTTGGTTTTAATTTTAATTTCAAATCATAAGATTTACTCCAATGAAATGTTTTACATGATTGTAGCAGATGTCTTTTTAGTCCGATTCTTGGAATTGCTTGGTATGTGCTTCAACGAAATGGATCCATAAGAATTTTCATTCATGTTATAATTTTTGAATCTATGGCTGAGAGAATATATGAATTAGAAGCTGATACATCGCTATTAAATAGACACAAATCAGCGATCAGAGAGTAAAATGCAGTGGCTCAATAAGCACAACCACATTTATTTTCTTCGAGCAAATGGTGGTAATTGTTTGCACAACCGAAATAATCAAAAATTGACTTTTTAAACATATATATTATATTTATATATATCTCATATAGAACTTCTTTTTTTTAAACCTTATTTTGTTTTACATTTTTGCTATATTTTTTTGGTTTTTTTGTTGGAACTGATTTTACTATATGCTCCTATTATGTATGTATTAAAAATAGATTTTTTCCCCTTAATTTTAGTTTGAATCAAAATTCAAGTGTTGATTGAACACAAAGGAAACAATTTATGATGACAATTGGGTAAAATGAATGAAACAAAGACTTCATTCAATATTTTAAACAAATATAATATTCAAACTAATGAACGGCCAAAAATAAAACGCTGATATAGACTCGCTGTGTGGAACAAAAAGCGAACTAAAAATTGAATTTACCAATGAAAGTGAGGACATTGTTCTTATGTGCATTTTTTAAGTTTTTCATTTCTGACGAATCTATGTCAGTATTTTATTCTGAGACGTTTAAATATATCATTTAAAATAATGAACTTTTATAATTTATAAAATACGAATAGATACTCAACACATTTGTAAATGCGCGACGAAGAACTGTTCAACGCATTGAATGCATACGAAGACTAACATACATCGTAAAAATGTAATCACACCATCACACTCACTCAATTAATAATCGAATTTATTTTTTGGTTTTTTTTTTATAATTAATATTCTGCATCGTTCGAATGACTATTCTCTTCAGAATTTTCATAAAGTGCCTAATATTGTTTAACTATACAGTAAACATGGTCTGTAAATAGATAAATATTAGTTTTGTAACCAGTACTCTCTAAGTATATTATTATAATAATAATATTAATTTTGTCTTATTTTGTGAGTTTAAACATTGACATTCAACGAACTCATTTTCTTGCAACTAAAGCACATACATATTATTTCTCTCGCTGTTGTAGACAAAAAAAAACAGAATTATGTATGCCGCAGACAGTAGCCAATAAAAAATAAATCAAGTTGTACTTGTTTTTATTTTTAAATTAAGAAAAAATAGAAATGTTTCGTCTCTTTGTGATTTTCTGCACCCAAATTTTTTTAACAAGATAAAATAAAAAATAATCGGAGAAAAAAGCAAAAATTCGATTGTCACACCATTCAATGGCAAAATGTTTTACTCCATTTTTTCCTCTCTAATTCTCTTGATTTCTACAAATGTCTTAAAATATTATTATTTTTTCTATTATTTTGTTTGCTAAATTCAATAACTGATCCATTTTTAAAATATTGTCATGTCATTCGTGGTGTGTTATATATCATTTTTTATACATATATGCTTGAAATTGTCTTTGTGCATGAGTGCGTGGGCTGGAAATTTTTTTTGTATCTAATTTATTTTTAAAAAAATTTGGAAAGAATTGGACAGAACAAAAATTCTATGCATTTTTCACATTGTAAATAATATATTTAAAATATTCCACATGAACAGCAAAGGGAAAATTGACAAAATGAAATAAAAAACAATGTGGACATTTGCTAAGTTAAATGAACCTAGCCATTTGTCCGCATATCATTTTGATTTCATTAATTTTGTTTTATGTTCTGTAAAATATATTCACTTGACCAATTTTACCATATACTTAATGTGTTTGCTGGAATTATTCTGAATTTTTTTGCTACAGCGTTTCTCAATTTCAAATATACTATCCTAAAGAGAGCAATTCTAATTGCTGGCAAATTGTTAAAATGACTACAGTGATCAAAAGCTAATGGTTGGTTAGATTTCGTTGGTTTTTTTTGTTTTTTTTTTTTTTTTGTTGCTGTTATATTCCGCACCTTTTCCCTTGCTCTTGTGGGAAGTGTGGCCGATTTCATTTACAATTTCACAAATGTTGATGTCTTGGTTGATGTATTTAGCTTTGGATTTGGCACATCATCGACAAATTCTAGCACAATTTTATTTTTGTCATTCGATTATGAATCCTTGAACAGAAGCCAGGAATGAGGTGTATACATTTTGAGCGCATTAGGCATTGCATCACTTTTGCGGGGGAAGGTAGAAAAGTACGGCGTGTGCATAAAGCGGAACTACAAATTACCATATTCAATTGTAATTTGTTGTTGTTTTTTTAAAGACACAAAAGAAAACGGTCGGTAAGAAATGTTTTAGATTGAGTTTACATTGTGTTTGAATCGGTGGGTGGAATGTACTCCATCACACAGAATTGCTGTCGAATTTGCTTTCAAAACCGAAATCAAATACACAGATGACAAAAGTAGAGCACTATTGCAATTAGCTTCAGTGGAATGTGTGTGTGTGTGTGTGTGTGTTTGTCATTGCATTTGTAGAGTTAGATTTATAGTATCAAATTCACGCTTGCAATCATTCAATTCACTTCTAATTTTTGTATCAATATTTTCATTGGCAATGCACAAACTTACAAATTCTAAGAATTCGAATAAACCATCAAAATATGTTCGTACAATATACATTCAAAAAGTATTTGTGAGCAGATAAATAGAATTTGTTTTTGTTATATGGTAATATAATGGCTTGTTTAACTTGTTTTGTTGTCGATGGTCATTTCCTTGATATATTTGAACATGTGTTATTGAATACATTTATTGTTTTAAAAAAAAATATTTGCTTCTTCCCACACATTGAATGGCTGTTGCTACTAATTCAGAATTGTTGTTGTGGTGGTAGTATGTGTCCTGGCTTGAGCTGACTGACAATTTTTGCCTAAAAGCATTTGCTTCAAAATGTGTGTTTGCATTTGAGTTTGTTTTTATTGCTGTTGCAATATTGATTTTGGATTCGCTTAGAAAATATTTACTTCATCGTAGTTACGATTCCAATATTCACCGGCGTACATCCAATCGGTTAGATTCGTATGCGGATTAGTTGCCGCTTTGAACCACCTATAACAATGACAACAACAAAAAAAAGACATATTTACACAGTTTTCATTCGATGTGATTTATTTTTTACTATTTAAATGCCCACTAACCTTGGACTCCAACCTTTACTTCCTTTCATTGCCTTTTTTGTGTCTCGTTGTTTTTCTTCTAGGCGCGTTTTCTCCAATGCAGCACCATCGACATCACCCAGTTCAAGTTTGCGGACGTCTGGTCGCAGTCGAGAATCGGTCGGGCATAGTCGATTTGGTGGCTTTACATCAGGCATTTCATTCAATGTCATCGCAAAATACGTGAATTGATAATACTAATAAACAATGAATATTTTATATTAAAATATGCTCAAATCGTTTGATATATCGTGTCTGCATGAAAATAAAATTTAATTACTTCGGATGTATTTGGTGGCCGTGGTTTTGCCTCCCAAATTGTTTCTGATTGTGGTATATCGATTGAATAAAGTGAATCACATTTTGGAAGATCACCATTGGATGGCTCGGGTGTTTCCTCCGGCTGAAATTGAAGCAAAAAGAAAAGGACGAAAGTTATCAAGCAATCTCACATTTTCAGATAAAAAATTGAATTTTCTAAAACGAAAAAAAACTTACCTCTTGTATTGATAGGCTTCTGAATGAGCTCATTTTCAAACTGTTCAATTTCGACAAAACTTTGCGTGGTGTATGCGCTGGCGATTCATTTGGACTTTTGCTACGTTCAGTTCGTTTGAATTTCATGTAATGTTCCTTCAAGTATTCCTCATACGAATCATAATCAGTACATTTAATGAACTCAGTCCATTTACCATAAATGAAACGAACTCCTCTTTCCCTGTAAACAGAAATTCATATGTTAATATATTGATATGTGTGACGGTAGATTTTAAGTGAATGTAAAATAGTTTACTGTCTATCATAAATGGTTCCTTCGACTCGATGTAAATCCTTTGACGACGAACTGGCTGGTTTAAATGTAAGCACGGCTTTGATTCCGTAAGTTTTATTCACTATTTCCATTGTACCATATTGTTCAATCCACATTTTACCAACGATTATATTGTGAACACAACAGTTTACATTCGACCATGTGTAGGCCTCTCTCCATCTGGGTAATTCAACGGTGACAATGCCTTTTGGTTGAATTTCGACACTTTTTCCCCAGAATTTCAATTTCGGATGAATGGCACCGCTGAATTTAAAGTGTGGTGCGTCAGCATGAAATGCTGAAACTGGAGGATGATGTGACACTTGTTCGCATATTATTCGAAAATCATCATTTTGATATTCGTATGTTTCACCCAACAAAGGATTAAATGGTTTGCCTAAGCGTTCCCAATTTGATGCCAATGCTGATACAGCAAAACCTGCGTGGGAAATCAAAAATCAAAATATGAGTACATTGAGTAAAATTCCGATATTTCAAACGGACAAATTTATTCCGTCCGTCAAATTTTTATGGTTCTGAGCAATTACTGACCATTAATGGTAGAAAAAAACTGTTTTAGGCACCGGCGAATGTGAGTGAACTTTTCTTATAAGAATAACTTTCTTGTTTTATATTCAGATGCGGACTTTTGGAAACTTTTTCAGGTCCTCCGATGCCAATAAAAACTCTGACACCTTTACATATACTACTTACCAGCAACATATTTCATTCGTTCAATGGCGTCATCTTGTTCGGAGGCCAGCCGCAATAGTGACGCATATTCCATATATTCGGTCATCCGTTGAAGGAAGGTTAATGGTTCATTGAATACAACAGGCATTGTGATTTTGCTCAATTCTTTACCGATACAATTTTTTAGAACAGACCAAATGCTGAAGTCATTGCGTGACAACATGGGCGATGGCAACGAACATCTGTAATTGGTAATTAAACAAAAAATAAGAAGGAGAAGAAGAAGAAGAAGAAGAAGAAGAAGAAGAAGAGAACAAAATTCATTTAGTAATATACATTCATCAATTTGGAAATTAGTTTAGAATCAAGATAAGCATATTTAGACAACAAAAATTAAAATGGTATTTCTGGTGGGCTTTATTCAATTAAATTCATTCTACATTGAGAGAATTGTGTATCGATAAAGCCAAAACGAAAACGACAAAATCTATGACATTGACTGTTGTACATAAATTTGTTTTTCCATTCAATGCAAATCATGGAAAATCAAATTTTCTTTCAAATATACATATTTTCCAATATAAATTGGTTGTGCAATTTGTGTTTGTTTGTTTGTGTGTGTTTTATGTTTATATGTGTGAACATTTTCCATTTATATTTATAAAATTAGATAAATGTGCGGCTGCCTAAATCTGCTTCTAATTGCATATCACCACAAATCAATACTCTATGAATAATAATGAATATGAATGTCAATGCTTGCAATGTATTATGTGTATGTGTGAATGATTATTTTTGTTCTTCGGTACAACCGAAATAGAAACCAATCGATGCAAATTTGAATGATGCAAACAATGATCGAAATGTGACAATATGAACAATTTAAAATGCGCGAAAAATGTTTGAATATATTTTATTCGAAATTAATTGCAAATTTAGCTACATACAATAATTAGAGTTAAAATCTCTGTCAACGGAACACTAAAAGCGTCTAAGCCTCAAACCCAAGCGTTCAGAAAGACATACATTTATGCGAGCGATTGAATGATGCTTGCATCATTTGATGCGCATCAATTGTGCTGTTGCCATACATTCGGATCTTCGGCAGCGCACGAAGTGCTCCGAACGCACAACGAAAGCACTAGCGATGCGCATCAAATGATGCAAGCATCATTCAATTGCTCGCATAAATGTATGTCTTTCTGAACGCTTGCTCAAACCAAATATATATATCTAAGCTATGACGTTATAGTTACTTAAGAAAGAACATTTAGAAAGCGAACAAAGTTAACAGAATTTCCGGACAATTTCCATTTAATCAAAGCGAATTTTTGTGCTTTTCACCAAAGCATATATTAAATACTTTTCTCAACCAATTGATACAATAATGCAATAAGAAGTATGGAATTATTTAGGCTCACGAAGTTGTTTTTTCAAATATAAAATGAAATTTAAAAATGGAAAAAGTGTAAAAATGTATGAAAAGGTGTTTTTTGTTTCGCAGAAAAACATTTTTTTTTGATGAATTAAATGTTGGTTTCTGATTTTATGGTTTTAGATTAAAAGTGTTAGTGTGTTATTTACATAGCCACTTGTGATGTGAACTATAAGACATAAAACACTTAGAAAAAATTACGCATTTTAAAACAAACGATTAGAGTTAAATGAAAACAACAACAAACAAATGGCACATAAAAAGATAAGAATTTTTTTTTGATTTGGATTTGTTTTTTTTTTTGTTTGAATGCAAAAGAAATCACCTGTGCTGACAAACAGATTTTTGCTCTTCATCCTGATAATTAGCTTCGGCCATAATATAATTTTAAAATTAGTTCTTGTTTTTCTTTTCTCTTTTTTTTTGGCTTTTATATTGTACGTCTGACAATTGGCTTTCTTAGATTTGTTAAAATTTTCTTCTTTGTTGTTTATTCTCTTTATTGGTTGTTTTTTTTTATTTGTCTTTTATTTCAATATCGTGCGTTCAACGTAATGATATAGTTGTTGGGATTGAATTGTTTATAACTGTATTATTATTATAATAATTTTTTATGTGAATTTAAATTGTTTGAATTGAAATACGATTTGCTATGCAGAAGAATTGACGTAGAAGACGTTTTGTTGCTATTTCAAATGGTTCATATATTTTTTTTTGTTGGAATAATTTGCATTTATTTATTTGTTTTTGTGTGTGCGTATGTTCACTTGATGATAAATTACACTGTCTGTAAGAATATAGAATTATTCAATTAATTTAATTGCAATCAAGTTCAAAAACCAATTGATAAATAAGTAAACATAGTATCAAAATACACAGTTGTGTTGCCGTTTTAAGTGCGAATGAAGCAACGAACGACAATAAATATGAAACCGTGCGGAAAGCAAATATAATTATCTAACTATTTTGGAGTTTTTTTTATTTGCGATTAAACCAGGTGGTGCATTAACAAACGACGCTTCCAATTCAACGCTTTTTTTGATCACCTTTCTTTTACGTAGTGTTTTTTTTTGTTCAAATATAATCTTGTATCATTATCAAACTTTTAAATTATAAAACGTAACAAAATAAATAGAAGAGAGAATTCACTGAATGTATATTGAGGTGAGGCTTCATTAAGTGCCAAAGACCGATACAAAAACATATTTTCCGATTGAATGAATTCGAAAAAAACTATGATTCTACTTTACGGAGAAAAAACTTTAAGTTTGCAAAAATTCATTAACCATCGATACACCGGTTCCACGGTGAGAGATAAAAAAGCCTTTTTTACGGCTTTTGTGAAGTGGCCAAAAAACTACTTGTTCAACACATAAAGAACACGCAGAAAAGGAATACACGTTTGAATTATGAAAAACAATGATTTTCAATGAACAATGTATTTAAATTAAAACTGTTCATTTTCAAGTAAAGCATTCACAAAAGTGATAGACTATTTTAACCCAAAATCACTAGAACTAGAACTGAATGAACTTTGTTTTCCTCTGAGTTTAACATTTAATTTGTCGGATTAAACTGAATTCATTTGTTTGAATTGAAAGTTGTTTGAATTGGGTTCTGGTGCGAAAATATTTGCAAACTGAAGTTTATTCATTATCACTTAATCGCGTTTAATTGTATTGACTGCGGTGAGCCTCATTCGACAATAATTCATAGCGCCATTTTGCGGCTTTTCTCAACAAACGAAAAAAAAGAGTGTTGAATGTGTCGTTAATAATCATATGATCAAAATAAAAATGAGTGATTTTGTTATTTCACTTTTGTCAATTAAGTTTCAATCGCACCGTACCACAAATATAAAAGTGTTTGAATCATGATACAGTATTTGTTCCAAGTCCTTTTGACAAAGAAAAACATTTATTCCAATTGTGAATGCCAACAATTGTTTGTTTCACAATTTGTTTTACCAGCCGACAAAATATCAAATGTAAATAGAACGAGTTTCCTTTAAAATATAATCACAAGTCAGCAGAAGCAACAAGAGAAGAAGAAGAAGAAAAAAATGTTCGATTAAATTATGACAAAGACTATACACTCGGCTGACACACACAATTCTCGCCGCAGTTAATTAAAATATTTGGTTTTTGATTTTTGAATTGTGAACGCGGTGTGAATGGTATTCGTGCTGTTTATTTGCCAAAATCGCGAAAGATACTGGATCACAATTGAAATCGGTGTGTACTCATGTACGTCGTGTGTTGTTTGGCCGCGGTTGTCGCTTCTGTTGTCGTCATCATGCACATCGAAACAGTCACACATACACACACATGTACATATCGCACATATTTCAATGTGAACTTCGCATTTCGTGTTTAAATCCGAAGCCCTGTCATGTATAGCCGATTTGAATGTCATGCCTTGATGTTGAGCACGAGAATCAAAGGCGCTTTGAAAATGTTGCACGCGAATTGTATTTACACACGGTTATGGTGGCGTAAATACTGGAGATATGACATTCAGAATTTGTGGGGTATATTTTTCATTTGGATTCAGGTTGTCTCTCTGTCTCTTGCAATTGTTTCAATATTTGCAGATTTGAAGAAAAAAACGGCATGTTTGTGCAAGCGTGTAAGATAAACACATATCGCATCTACAATTGTAATTGTCTAGTGTGAAATTATTTCGGCTATTGTGTTTTTTTACATCGGTCAACCAGAGCTGTGTGCACAAAATGAAGTGAATGCCCTGTACGACTATATCCATATGTTATGAATTTTGTGAAAATTAAATTAATCGATTGAATATGGTTAGCACTCAGGTTGCTATTGTCATTGCTTAATTTATGGTTTTTGCTTGTTGTTATTGCTGTTGCTGTGCTGCGTTTGGAATTTAATTAAGATAAACTGTCATCACCGTTGTATTTTGTTCATCAAACCAGAGCTTCTGTGGTGCTCTCGCCCTTTTTTCACTCTAGAGGAAATATCCAATTTCAAGTCTTTTTTTGGTTTTGAATTCCACGCAGTAGATACCCGATATATCTAGAATGAAATGTTCATTTTTCACTCGATCGCTTTCGCTTTAGGATCTTTGCATCTTTATTATAGATTTAATGGTTTCAATCAATTTTCAACAACTCTTACAATATTGCTAGCAAATTGCTGGTAGCAATATTGAATTAATTTGAAAAGAAAAATGCACCATTCAACCGATCGAATTTCTCGCATCAATGAAATGTACAAATTCTGGTTCATTTGCATTCAATTAAATAAATTGAGGTTTTATTTCATCAATCATGATGATAACATAGTCATATTAATATCAAAAATATAAATAAATGCAGCACCAACCATTTTCTCCTTATTTAAACACGACATTCAAATAACTCATTTTTCAGGATAAATAATGGCTTTCAATTGAATTGCATTCAATAAAATGAAAATATCATGTTTCAAAAGAACCACATTTCAACCCTCACATTTGTGGCCGGATTCAAGTATATTTTTATCATTTTTATCTAAAGCTTTTTGATCCTGTTTGAATTTTGAATAGAGTGAAGAGAGAGATGGAGATAACTTGAAAGTGACAATTTGAAGGACAATTGAGGCGTTTGTTTAGATTCCACCCAAAGGCCGTTTTAGAACGCAATTGAATGAAAAGCGCAAAAACAAAACGAAAATTGTTCATATTCTCAGCCAAGAGTAGTTGATGGTGGTGAACCTTTGACCTAACCTTGCTATTCAAATAAAACATATAAGTTGTAAGTGTTAAGAATTTTAACTTCCGTGCCGATCGAACTTTTTTAAGTCGTTGCGTAGTTGAGGGAGTTGATTTTTCTTCTATTTCCTCTCTTCGTTTCTTATTCATTGTTTTCAAAATTGGTGGAGTTGTTGAACGTTTTTTTTACATAGTTTGTATTGTATGTTTTTCGTGTGTATGTGATGAAAACCTAACGCTTTTTCGCCGCAGATTTTTCCTATTAAATATTAATATTGATGTAATTAATCGCATTTGAAACATTGTAGCACAACAACCTTCAACATTTCTTAAATAAATGATTAATAAACCGAATAATTCAAGCCAAAACGGTCGAAAATAGAATGGCAACAATAAAAATGGAACAATATTTTAACACGCGCGCCAAATGTTCTGTACGATAGGGAAACAACAATAGGATTTCATTTGAAGTATGATGTGTTATTTTCTTATTTGTTGTTTTCGTCCAAAAAAATCGCTCGATACAATGTTATATTGTACGAATAGACGCTTAAACGACACGAAGACACTATATAGACAGAAGTTATGTAAAGAAAAAAAGCATGTCGTATTTGTTCGACATTGTCGTCAGATTATTCGTTCATTCAAAACAATTCCTTGAATATAAAATCGATTTTTTTATTTTCCTTCCATCTCATTCAGCGTTTCATTGTCTATGCCATTAATGCAAAGAAAAACTTCTGAAAATGTTGCATACATAAATCAATGGTATTGATATAGCAATAATGCTTCTTTTGTTTTCTTTGTCTCTTCTATTCTCGCTTCTTTTTTCTTTTTCTCGCTTCATATATTTATTGAGTTTATTTAGCAAAAATACCCATCACTTTTACTAGCGCCATCCCATCGGTAGGATTTTGCACTAACCATTCTTAGGCGCTGTGTATAAAAAGGCCTGACATGAAATGAGAAAATGCAGGACAAAGTCACGAATGTCTGAGTTTTGTTATTGTGTATATATCCGGTGAATAAATGGCCAGACTAACGGATATATATGTGCACAAATATGATGATAATATATGATATTAACAATTTCTAATTGAAAAGAAAATGATAGACACTGCATGATGAAAATGAAAATTATTATGCTTATGAAATTATATGGTAATTGAAGTGTTTATGTATGAAAATGTGAATGTGTTTGTGTGTTTATGTTATTGTTGTTATTGTTATTCGAAGCAAAAATAAAATGGATATGCAATTAATAGACGCAACATTGATAATGCGATGGCAGAAATAGACAGCAATAGCCACATAAACCACTTACACGCATACGAATGAACACTGAAAATACATAATATAGAAGACATTTTACAAACGACGGTTGACAATGAATACAGAAAGTTATAGTGTGAAGAAGACAACGATAGCGGCTAATAACAGGGTAGATAAAAGGAATAGAAAATCAGAGGACGGTTACGAACAGAATACGTGTTGACCAGCATAATACACAGACGAATGACCATTGCTTAGATACAGTCTATGCACTTTAAGTGACAATTTTATGCTTTTACGCACATCGAGGGGTTGTTTTTTCATGCTTGCATCGATTAGCCATTAGGCGACTTAAACGGAAAATCCATTCATTTTCTTGATTATCTATTTTGTATAAATGATACTGTGATGATGTGCTCAACAACAACATGAAAAAATCACATAAATAAAGAAATTCAAAACGTTCACAATTTTTCGATGACACAATAATCGAATCGGGCGAAACATTCAAATTTAGATGTTGTCATGATTAATCATCATTTCATCGGTGAATTTTGTGTTAGTAATATACGCATTTGAAGTGTCTGATGACTATCAAGAATACTTTAACGATGAAGCATTTATATTGTGTATGAGGACATACAAAAAAATGAAATTGCAGAAATATGAATTTCGATGTTTTGTGGAATTTATAATAAATGGAAGAGAATTATAGAGCAGAAAATTTAGAGAACAGGATAGATAATATGAAAACACCAAACATGTCAACAATGCAAATCAAATATATTTTTTTTAAATTGTAATTTGAATATTATACGGTTCGGCTCACACATACACGAAGTTGGAAGCTACGAATCATCATGGTGTCAAATTTCATTCTTGCTTTCCATTTGGTGTGTATGTTTTTTTTGAGGATGTGCTGTTCTCCGGGTCTAATTAAATTTAAATGTTGAATCGCGTCGAATTTGTGTTTGCTGTGTTTATTTACCGTATCAACCGCAATGATTATATATCGTTTCTGCGCTATTTTTGTGTTATTTGCGATCAATAATTTGGCCGTTCATTGTCAAAAGATAATTGAATTTGAGTCGTTTTATTTTTGAGGCCAACTTCTATGAATGGCAATCGAATTCGTACCAACACCTGTGATGAATGATTTCTGCTTTTACTTTCGTTTGGATTGAATTTTGTTCTCATTCGTTGGTGTAGTTATAACATTTGTTTTGGGATGATGAGTTCAAAATGCTCTCACACACGCGCACTTTGAATAACGCAGAAAAAAAATCACACACACGAAATATATTGGCAATAAAAGCTTTCATTTCCTCAACACAGAACGAGTACTTTAGACTTAAAATGTTTTTTTTTGTTTTTGCGCGCGTGTGGATTCTAACCTGTGAAAGAGAGGTTGCTTGAATTTTTCGTAAAATTTTCGCTGAAGGTCAAAAGGCTAATCAAATGTGAACGTCTCATTCATCAATAAACTTATATAATCAACTGGTACTGTTACTCATTTTTTCTACATCAATTTGTAAAATTGTCTATTTGGCTATTCATTCATCTGGTGTTAGTGGTGCATATTTCTTGTACAAGTCTCAAATGTTGTGGTATCGTATCGGTTTTATTTGTTTTTATTTATTCAGACGGTCGGGGATCGATTTTTGATCATAGGAATTATGGCGCGCACACACGACATACTTAATGTCTATTCGATGCGAATTCAATTTTGTTTTTTATTCAACGTCACCAAATTTACATAAAAGAAATTCAAATGGTATTTGCTCGCCTTTTAACAACACATTTTCTCTTTCACACACAATTCATGAAATGTATTCAGCATGAATGTTTATGGTTATAAAAGAAATTAATCAGTTAGCATTTTACACAACACTAAATAAATATGTACATTAACAAAAAATATACGTTGTTTGTTTTTTGTTCTATTCATTCATTACTTGAGAGTATTTATGCGCGTAAAAATGTATATTTTTATTTCATTTTTATCTCTGTTCTTTTCTTTATCAACGAAACTCAACAAACAAATGACACCCGTATAAAATCACGCACGTCAATTCACCCTTAATCGCACAACGAAATGAATCACTTTCACTATTTTTCTCTTTTGTTGATTTTGTGTCTGTATGGATTGTAAAATTTTAATAAACCAACAGCAGCAACCGCAATGCAATATGTTGTATACTTTCTCGGTCAGTTTGTCGCCTTCAGTGCAAACTCCCTCCTTTTCTTTTGCTCATATTCAACGTTTTTGATTTAATTAAAAAAAAAATTATATATATGAAAAACTAGCAAATTTACTAAAACACACAATGTCAAACTTTGATAATAAAAAAAACAACAACAACAAACCCAAGTTCAGTTTTTCGAAACTATTTCGTTCGTTCTTTTTTCTTGGCCTTAAAATGTTTCCATTTCTTCGTGTGTAATTCTCTTTTTTTACTTCTTTTCTAATTCGGTTGCTGGTTGGTTTGGTACGTTTTATACGTCAAAACTGTTCACATGCAAAACGCCAAGTGAACATAAAGATTTTCCACAACACACTATAAAAACAGGAACCTAACAAAACAGGGGAGCTGCCAATTTTTCCATTGGTCTTGGCTCGTTGTGTGTGTGTGTGTGTGTGTGTTTGTGTTATATGTTGTCGATGGCGTTGTTCAATTTTAACTTTTTGTATATGTATAATTATGGCGCAGGTATGTATGTCTAAATACATACAGTGATGTTTATTTGATAAAAGGAAGCAGTGAATAGCTGCTGTCTCAAAGAATGGAAACCACAATAAATGACTGGGAAAATATTTGAGAAATAAATAAAAAAGCTTGAACACATACAATGCGCATGCGGTATTCTATTCATATGTCTTTCTATGCGTATGCATGTGTTTGAATTCATTTTGCATGCAGAGAGAGAGAGAGAGAAAGCAAGCGAAGTAAAACTAAAGCCTAGGAAAACTCGCGACAGAATCTCTGAATTAATTGTTGTTCATTTTCTCTGTTGTGCTTTATTAAGTCAATCATGTTTTATTTATGTGTCAATTGCATTATACCTTCTAACATGGCTTGAAATCGACTTTGTTGAAGGCGATTTTAATGTGATATATATTA